ATTTGCTTTATTTTTTGCTGTTTATTGTTTGAAAATTTTGTTAGACGGAGAGCTATACGAGAGTTGCATCCAAAATATAATTCTGTAGTTATAGCGAGAGAAAGTGTTAAATTTCGTATTGGAGCAACGTTTAATTGGTTATATCTTAATTATTAAATAGTTAAATTAGTCGCAATTCTTAACATTTGAAGCAGGAAATTGAAAGATATTTCTAAAGACATTTTTTTAGATTTGACTGACAGTTTGATAGTTTCTCAAGCATTCGTGTTTTTCGCTGCTGGTTTTGAAACCTCATCGACAGCGATGGCTAACGCGTTTTACGAGCTGGCTTTAAATCAGGAAATACAGAACAGGTTGCGTGACGAAATTGATCAGGAATATATAAAACATGCTGGCAATTTAACATATGCAAACATCAAGGAAATGAATTACTTGGATAAAGTATTCAAAGGTATGTCGTTCAAATAGAAAATTTAAATAATTGAAGGACCGCGTGACAACATCGATTCTTGCAGCAGCATTATAATAATAATTTCATCGCTGATGAGACTAATTGCAGTTCATCTTTAGTGCGTACAAATGCATTTAAACAGATAGTTTGAACTATTTTTAATCTAGAAGTCTTACGAAAGTATTCAGCTGGGCTTTTCTTTACGAGAAGAACGATGTCAAGTTATACTTTCAATGGTACCAAAGTTAGTATACCGAAAGGCCAAATAATATTGATTCCTTGGCAAGATATGCATCAAGATCCGAACATTTATCCAGAACCGGATGTCTTCGATCCAGAAAGATTTAATGAGGAAGCTGTGAGAAGCAGGCATCCGATGGTTTATCTACCCTTCGGTGGCGGACCAAGAAATTGCATTGGTGCAGTGAAATTAATTTAAATGTCACCCTTTATTTCTCTTTGCGCCATTTTCAACCGGAAAAGATTTTTAATTGTGATCTGGTTTACACGACGATCAATTTTTATTTCAGGTTCCCGTTTCGCTGTTTATCAGACTAAACTTGGGCTCATAAAGATATTACGAAACTACAAAGTCGAGCCTTGTGAGAAAACGCAAATACCTTATGCGATCGATGATAAACATTTTTTATTAACGCCAAAGGATGGAATATATTTAAGAATAATTAAAATTAATCGAGATTAATTTAAGCTTTTTTTAACTCTCTCTCTCTCTCTCTCTCTTTCCCTCTTATAAAACATGCGTGTATAGAACTTGATTAAGAAAATCTCTGTCAAGAAATGTAATAATAAAAGTCACTTTTTCCACTACAACACATGTATGTATAGTACTTATTTTACTGATATCGTATAGTAATTTCTCATCGCGACATCAGTCACACGGCAATTAAATCGTTCAAATTTAATTGTAGTATATTATATAATCTCTTTAAACTCATCTTTTCCGTATTTTCTATGTAAGTATTCTGTTACATATCAAAAATAAAATATGCAAAGTAAGTATAAAAGTGTTTGCGCATGTCAAATATTTTTTTTTACTATTTTTCTACACTTCAAAACTTTCATGTATTAATTTACAGTTCAGAAGTAGGACATTCGTTTGGACATTTGTTATAAGACGTTGGATTGATTAAAAAGTATTGCCCTCGTAAATAATTTTTATTTTAATTTATTATCAAAATTATTATTTCATTTGATTGTCATAAGATTTTTATAATGTACTTTTTACTACGTATTTGTCTCTATTTCTATACGTATAAACGTATACGTTTTACACGTTTTTGAATTATTACATTCGTCCACGTTCTCTCCGCTTATAATTTGGCACGACTTGGATGGCGACAGGTTAGTATTAACTCTCGACTCTCCGGCGCGGTGGTTTTTCCTCCTCCCCGAATCGGAATGACGAATAATACAACATCGACACCGATTACATTAATGAAAAATTATTATTCACTTTATATATCTCTCAAGTACTACATTGTGCGCGTGACAAGTCGAGCGTCCGAACAATTACTGCATTGTGCGCTTCTTTAACAGCGAGCCTCTCGATTTCTGAACAGCGGCTCAGTTTTACACTGCGTTGTTTAATTGTGTGTTATGTATACGTACATAAAATTATTTTTTTCTGCATTGTACATTTCGATAATCGTCAAAACAACATTAACGTATCTGTGTTCGCTTTTATTTTTACTTTCCTACTTAAATTAGTAAGCAATGAGGTGCGCTCGCCGTCGGTGACCTCTCACGTGCTTATATTTAAAAAATAAAAACAATTTCTTGTTTCTCTCGCTTTTCTACTCCGCAGTCCGCAATATCCCAAGAAACACCAAGATCGTCGGTTGGCGCTCACTCTTTATTATTACCTTACGTCGAACTTCGGCTTTTGGAAATCACGCGGCGTCCGCGGTCCACAATCTATACCACTATTTAGAAGTTTCAAAGATGTTATATTTTCGAAGATATCCGCGGACAATTGTTTGACGAAAATATATAACGAGTACGAAGACGAACCATATTGATTGGGATATTCGCTAGAACACACCTGTTCTTATTGTAAGAGATTCTGACTTAATTAAAAATGTTTTTATCAAAGATTTTTCCGTATTCGCTCATAGAGGACCATCCACTTTCGAAAAGGTCGAATATTTAAAACTATTATATAATTCAAAAAGGATATTAAACAAGGTACACGGCGCAAATTCTTTAAAGATTTACATATACTTCTATAATTTTCGTATAATAAAACTAATAAAAAAATATAAGATATGCTTCCAAAAGCCTTAAGCAAGTTTTTACAAGTTACAGAATTTTGCTTTGAGCCATTTCATTACACACAGAAGAAAGGAAGTGTTAAATCAAGACTTATATTCTTGTATTAAGCAAGATTCTATAATTTTTTAATAAGAATTTTAACTTTTTTTCTTGATTAAACTACATAAATACCTTTATTCAAACAAGTTTTCTTTGTTCAACACAATTTATATCTCATTTCAAGATTCTTGCTTATATACAAGAATATAAGTCTTGAATTAACACTCTCTTTTTTCTTTTTTCTGTGCAATTTTATCTCATAAACTGAGTTGTCGCAACACTTCTTCTCTTTGAAGCCAAAGAGATGGCGACCGTTGAGAGTGAAGCTGTCGCCTGTTTTTACATCATACTTAAAAAAATCCAGATTTAATTATAATAGGGATAAAACGGTGAAAATACAAGAAAGCTATTTCACAAGTTTTCAAACGATGAGACATGTTATAAGAATAATTTTATAAACCACAATATATATGTTACGGGCAATTTGATAAATTGGGCATTATGCATAATGGCCGGGCATTATGCATAATTCCCAATTTGTTCGGTCAATATGATTAAAAAAATTAATCAAATTACCCGGTTATTATGCATATTTCTCAATGCTAAATGGTAATTTTTTGATAAATCATCTCATTTGAGTTGATTTTTCCGGCAATCTTACGCCCCTTGCACAATAGGCGATAGCGATAGCGATAGCGACAGCGACAAAGTTGCGAACAAAGTTATAGCTTTATTGGCAACCTTGTCGCTGTCGCTATCGCTATCGCTATCGCCTATTGTGCAAGGGGCTTGTTAGAGAGTGACGCGCTTTAAACAGTTAAATAGTTTTAAAGCGCGTCACTCTAACATCTCGCTTCGTGGGGCAGAGCGACACTTTTTTCTGCCAGATTTGGTCGTTTTGTGCAAAAACGCGTCGATTAAGCCTAAATTCAACGAAATCGGTGAGGAGGCCACTATTCTGCACATTTACCAAATAATTTATTAATTTGTCTATTATAAATTATGTTTAAACACAAAATATAAAATATTTTAGTGCATGAACTCATTGTAAGTAAGAAAGTTGAAATTATAGACAGACTGCCATTCTTTTTAGAAAGATATTTTAATATGTTAATCACATTTCCCACTTGTCTGTGGGCATTATGCATAATGACTGGTCAGTTTGATTAATTTGAACATTTTTGCTTTTATTATTCAAATGTCTCGAAAGAAGCGAGAATTATGCATAATGCCCGGCCATTATGCATAATGACCGGATTAATTAAATTGCCCGTAACATATATATCAAATAAAATTAACTTTTAGTTATTTTACGCCGACTTTTTCTATAGCTATATATATTATTATAATAACTGTCGTTTGAACATAATATACTTTTAAAAATAATAACTTAATTACATATGAATTGTTATGTAATTAATTTAAAAAAAATTAAATTATTTATAGTATTGAAGAAATGACGTTTCAGATATGACATATAGTTTAATAGCTTCACCAAACGTACGCATATTCCTTTTCTGGCCTTAAAATTTCGTTGTCGACTATTAGTAATGCGTTTGAAACTATTTTATTATCGCAAAAACAATAGCTACAATTTTTTCCTTTCCTTCGCTTCTTCAACAAGATCTTGTAATTCCTTTTACATTATCGCCAAATTGCTAATTGTACAGCTGAGAGAATCGATCATCATTAGGAAAATTATTTCACGATATATTCGCAATTAAATTAAACAGACGGCCAAAAGCTCAGAGGCGAAATTCACATGTTAACTTACATATATGTAACGTGATCTTTTATCTAATCGACCTTTTCAAATATCGCTAGAGTCATGGCAACAAGGCATTTGAAGTGACGGAGGGAGATAATTAAATCCATAAATCTTGAATATATATCGCTCTTACAATTTATCACGACCAACGTACTTCCCCAGTTAGTTTCCTTGTACTGGAGCGTCCGCACTTATAATTTTGTACGACCTAGACGGCGACGGATGGTCAAATTATCTCAAGTTACATTGTTGCATTCTAGTACGTGTTCACTTACGGGCCGGCGCGAGCTAACGCACGACGCAATATATGTGGATGCATTTACTTCGCATCGCCATTTGCATTCAGGTATGTCACGTCTGTCGTTTTTATCAACATTGAATTCTAGAAAAAGAGAGGAAAGAAGAACCAAATTCTGAAATTTTATCCGTACGTATGTATTGAGAAAAATCGGCTTTATTGCACGTTCATTAATCATCATCAGCGAAACCATCCATCGGAGTTGCTGCGAAGCTAGATGCTATATTAAATTAGATTTTATTCCAAAAATATTAATTTAAGAATAATATTCATCAAATGTAACTTACAATGTAAACTCACACGCTTTCTCTCTCTCTTTCTCTCTCTCCCTCTCTCTCTCTCGTCTTGTCAATGATACATTTTGACAGAATTTTATCGAAATTTAACTTCACTAAGATGGAGGTTTACACATATAAGAAAACGTTGTTTTCTTTTTTTTAGTTTTTAGTAAAGATCATTTGTGAAAATTGATCTACGAGACTGTTGGACAATGGAATCTTTCGAAATTCTGTGCGGCATCGCCGTCGTAATTCTCGCATTAGTTTATTATTTCCTCACGTCAAATTATGACTTTTGGAAGTCACGTGGCGTTCGTGGTCCACGACCGATACCTGTATTTGGTAATCTTAAAAACGTTACGTTTAGTAAAATATCTGTGGGCTATTATTTGGCAGAATTATATAACAAGTACAAAGATGAAGCAGTGTTAGGAATATTCGCTGGAAAGATGCCAATTCTTATTGTAAAGGATTTGGATTTAATTAAAGATGTCCTTATCAAAGATTTCTCCACATTCGCTAACAGAGGAATACCCGTTTCCAACAAGGTGAGAACATTTTAAGCTATTATATTTAAAAATATCCAAAGAATATATTAACAAAATACACATGTCGCATTTGTTTTAAAAAGATTCACGTACTTATATAATAACCTACTTTTATAATTTTCATATAATAAGACCTATTAAAAAATGCGAGATGTATCTCCAAGAACTTTATACACAGTTTTTGTAAGTTAGTGGATCTTAATTTTAAGTTACTCGATTATAATTCTAACTTTATCACAGGCCGATCCGCTGTCGCAACATCTTTTCTCTTTGGAGCCGAAGAGATGGCGACCGTTGAGAACGAGACTGTCGCCTGTTTTTACATCCGGTAAACTAAAGGAGATGTTCTCCTTAATATCCGAATGTGCCGACCACCTTATCCAATACATGGAAAAAGTAGTGAGCGAAAATAAACCTGTCGAATGTCACGAGTTGACGGCCAAATATACGACCGACGTTATCGGCAGCTGTGTCTTCGGCATCGAGATGAACGCTTTGTCGAACGAAAACAGTGAATTTCGAAAAATGGGAAGAAAAATATTCGAACCGACTTGGACAAATATATTACAAATAAGACTGAGACTAATGTTTCCGCGGCTTTACGAATTATCCGCGTATGTCCTACCGCAAACGGAAGTCACCAAATTCTTCACACGCGTTGTCGTCGAGACCATGGACTACAGAGAAACGAATAATATTACTAGAAACGATTTCGTTGATATGTTACGTGAATTAAAGAAACATCCAGATAAATTGGACGATATTGGTATGTATGTTTATACATATATTACTTCTTTCTGTCATAAGACTATGTCTCACATGAAACTATACCAGTTTGTACGTGTCATTATACAATTATTTTAGATTAAATTTATAAATCACAATCAATTGAAGTTAACTTTTACTTTAATAACAATTATTTTCTTATTATTATTGTATTTTGACAACAGTTTGTGTATCAATAACATTACATAACTTTAAAAATAATTAATTGATAAGTGACTAACTAATCTAATTAAAAATTATATTTAATTAAATTATTTATATTAATAAAAGAATTATTTTAGATTTGACAGATAGTTTAATAGCTGCTCAAGCGTTCGTATTTTTTATTGCTGGCTTTAAAACTTCGTCGACGACTATTAGTCATGCACTCTACGAGTTAGCGTTAAATCAAAAGATACAAGACAATTTACGTGAAGAAATTGAGGAGGTCTATATAAAATATAACGGAGATTTAACGTATGAAAATATAAAAAAAATGAATTATTTAGATAAAGTTTTCAAAGGTATGTCGTGTTTAAAAAATAATATTTACCGATATTCTAATATGATTCCACTGCTAGTAAACTTCTATCTAATTGTAGTTTTTCAATATTCCCATAATTTGACACTATTCTTAATGCGTGCAGAAACATTACGAAAATATCCGCCAGCGACATTACTTAGGAGAGAATCTACGTCAAGTTATACTTTCGATGGTATCAATGTTAGTATACCGAAAAGTCAAAAAATATGGATTCCTGTTTACGGGATTCATCGAGATCCGAATATTTATCCAAAGCCAGATGTCTTCGATCCAGAAAGATTTAATGAGGAAGCTGTGCAAAGCAGGCACCCGATGGCTTATCTACCTTTCGGTAACGGGCCAAGAAATTGCATTGGTATAGTGAAATGATTTAAAATATCCTTAATTTTCCAATTAAAAGTATTTTTGAACGTTGGTCAGATTTACATCATAATCTTTTTTGTATTTTTAGGCACTCGTTTCGCTCTTTATCAAAGTAAAATTGGGCTTATACATATACTACGAAGTTACAAAGTTGAGACTTGCGAGAAAACTCCAATACCCTACGTACACAATCCTAAAGCATTGATATTATCACCAAAAGACGGATTGCATTTGAAAATAATTAAAATTAATCGGCCTTAACTTTTTTTAAGTTTGTTGCCCAGTTTTCCGCAGAAAGCGTAATAAAAAGTGAAGAAAATTTAATAATTAGAACAATGATAGGAATCATTGTATCTGTTATAATACTTGCTTATTGATTATTTTAATGTTGTGCAGTAGTATTTATAGTAGGTACTACTTGATATAACATCTTATATCGATATAACATCTATCAAGTAGTACTATAGATTTCATAGTTCTTTCAGCAAAACATTTTCATCAGAATCACCTGCTAAAAATATTATAAAATCGATGAAAAGTGAAATAAAAGTTATTAAAAAATTACTGAATATATTTCAAAATTAATAATAATTTTCCTTATAAAATGAAATATATTACTGTGAAATAAAGAAAAAGTTAAATTATACTAAAAATTATACTAAAAATTTAAAGTAACAACAAAATTTCTTTTATGTTATATATCATGAAATTTACTGGAATTAACTGAAAAAACTAAATTTCTACTGAATTACTTATGAAATAACAATGAATTGTAATCAATTGAGAGAGAATTTCAGTAAAATTTTATTATATTTTTAGTCAAATATTTTCATCAGTTTTCTTTCGCTGTCAAAAATATCTTTTAGTCGCAAAATAGTTTTAATTAAGAATCTTAAGGTAGATAATTTGTATGTCGTTTTTAGGAACTCGTTGCGCTGTTTTTCAGAGTAAAGTTGAACTTGTAAGGGTACTACAAAATTACAAAATCGAAACTTGCGCGAGAACTCCAATACTCTACGTAAACGATTCCTATAGCATTGCTATTGGTTCCAAAAGACAGACTGCACTTGAAAATAGTTAAAATTAGTTGAACTTAATTTAAGCTTTTCTTGGACTCTCCATAGAGAGCATGCGTAATAAAATGTGGAAGAAAAATTATCAATTAAAACAGTGATAAGAGTCATTGTATCCGCTGCTATAATCCTTATTAATTTTCTTGATATAGTTGTGCTCTAACATTTTATATTAAGTAATTAACAATTTATAGATAGCTTAATTTTAAGTTCATGCGTTATTATTTAAATATGTATAACATTTCTTAATAATACATGATCTTTTTAAATTGTTTTCTTCTTTTATTTTTGACGTAAATATGTTATTTACATTACATATTAAAAGTATCATTAGATAGCTTAATTTTAAGTTTATGCTGTGATTACATATGATATACATATCTTAATAAGCTTTTTAAATTACTTTTTTATTTATGAGTTAAACATACCATTTACATTACATATATATATTGAAAATGTAAATGTCAAAAGTATTGCAGATCAAATATCAAACAATTACATTTAAAATATTTTTATAAATTATACATTTTTTATCAATAAAATAAACCCATATAAATATGCATCATGATATATGAAATTGTTGAAGAAAGCCAAAATATAGACTAGAATGCGAAAATGTTGCAAAATGTTTTTTTAAAATATACTAACTTACTTTAGTTTATATTTTATAAAATTTTTACATAATTTTTTAATTAGCATAAATATGTAGGTATAGTAAAATATATATAATGGTTTGAATAAAAAATATTGTTTTTCTTACAATTTTTATTTAATTTGACATTGAATTTATTATTTGGCTTGGAACTCTTATAGAATTATGTGAGTTTTAATTTAATTTTCTCTTTTGTTTTATTTCTGTGCATAAATATTATTTGCTTTGTCATATGTTTAAGGATGTATTGCACCTATTTTCAAAGCGCTACCAAGTGGATAAAAATTTGTGAGAATGTTCTTTTAGTCTTCCTGATGTGCTACAAAAAAGTAGAAACGAATCCACTAAACGGTTGCTGAGATATAACGATTTTAATTTTCACTGATTTTACACGTATTCTTATGGGAAGAGACGATTTTGGCGGATAAAACAGCTAAAAAAATGTTGAAAGAGCGCTACCAATATTTTGAATTTTTTTGTACATTTAGTATACGAATAGATGAAAATATCTGCTAAGTTTCAAATGTCTTCACTACACCGTTTTAAAGAAATAAATTAATAATTAATGATAATTAATAATTAATTAATTATTAATTATTAATTATTAATTTTATTAATAATTTGACGTTATAAAGTTGAAATCAGGGTATTTTCACTGCCAAAAGTTTAGGCTCATAAATTACAAAAATCGCAAATAATACGGAAAAAACATTTATAAAGTAAAAAATACTTTTCTAGGAGTAAAAATAAGACTCCTACTATCATTTGAGTATCTTACATCTAGATTTACTATGCGTTAGGCGTAGATATTCAAGTATTTCAAATTTCATGCACTTTTGTCTAAGATTGTACGTGTGATACATCCTTAATGTTTACTATTTTATTTGCGCTTGTTATTTACTATTTTTAATTGACAATACTAGACACCACAGACGCGCGCTTCGCGCGCGCTATTTAGCTTTAACATTATGCAATTATTATTACACTATTAACTTCTTGATACACACAACTGTCAAAATATACGATGACAGCTGCAAATGAAGTAACCGCAGCGAGAGAACCAATTGGCATCGCGGAAAAGCGGCAACAAAAAACTTCGAGATATGCGAGTATCGACTTAACATGCCTTTTTTTAAAAAGGAGGATTTACATATTTACAATATGTAACGTTAAAATTGATCTATTCAGCATATTGAATGGAATAGTTTTACATGCAACATAGCATCGAATGTTATCTGATTTTTTTAAATTTTAATTAGCTAGCTATTGATACACATATATTAACGTGACTTATAAAAGGCAACAGCGTAGCGAATTTTGAACAGTTCTTTCGTTGATAAAATAAAAGTGACACTTATAACTGGTTTTTCAGACACAAAAATCATTTATTTCTTAATATAAAAATAATCGAAAAAATATAATATGTATTGATATTTGGACAGTTATTTCTCACTTTCCTTAAGTAAGTTATAAACCTTTAAAAACGATAAAGATAATATAAGTTACAGGCTAAACTTCGACAAACTTTTTTATTTCTTTGTTTCCTTTATTGTTTAGCGATGACATCATACCTTCATTATTTGAAGCTCGC